CATTAAAAGAATATAGGTACTTATATGTCATTACAACTTCAAACGTATCTCTTATTAAAAACCAAAAATATGAAAACTCAGATACTTACAATGATAGCTGATGCCCGATTGTGTTAAAATATGACATAGCATTGTATTATAATAAATGCATATCATGTTATGTGACGCCTAATATTTTGAAAAAAGTTTAATAAACATAACGGACTCAAGGTCCCTATGTGTATTCTTTAATAATTCTTGATAGTGTTTAAAAAATAATTTTTGGTAAAAATAAGCAAAGATATGTTGTTAATATAACTTTTTACTTCATTAAGCAACATAAAGCATAAACTACCATTATATACTGCCGATCATTAACACCGCTAAAATAGGATTTTCTGTTGTTACAGTTCTGACACACTCATATATCTGATACAACTGGACCGATTAATACAACTGGACCCGGTTGTATTAATAAATAGTACGTGAAATGTAATTTTAGCAAAAACAGGCTGATATATGTTTTTGATTTCACTCAAACTAACAACATGAATCACAGATTACTATTATAAACTACAGATTACCATTACAGCAGCATTTTTTCTTTTTACAGACTTAATACATGTACAATTCTGATATAATTTTTGATGTAATTTCTACTTAAATGTATTAATCTTTATTCTATTTTATTGAAGTATCTATTTGAATCAAAAATCGGAAATATTGTAGTAAATAAATTTAATTACAGAAATTTCTTTTAGTTTAAGTGAAATTTTTCGGTCGACCAAATTTACTATATCATCTATTGGCAGATGTCCGTAATCATTTAAAAACGAAAGATATTTATTATTGGTTTCAACTGTTGGTGTATAATTTTTGGATTGTAATTGTCAGTATTCAAACCCTGCCAAATTTCAAACGCAGACTCACGTGATGACTCAGTTGTCACATAAGGTCAGTACCTAGTGTTGCACTGAATTATATTAGTTTTAAAATTTAAATCATGTGTTAGATTTGTTTAAAATTAAATCATATTTTAATTTAAATTTAATATTTATTTTTACGTAATATTAATATTATGATCTTATTAATTTTATGCTATAAACATTTAAATTGTAATAATTTCGATAATAAAATATCAAATTTAGATCATTGACGCACAATAATTATATATAGTAGGGGTAGTTATTGTTAATCGTATATATATTTAAATTTTTTTGTTACACAGTAAAAAGCAATCATTTTTAATTTAATTAAAATAAAACATTATATTCACATTGTTTTTATTCATTTCTTATATGAAAATATAAAAAGTAAGGCACTTGTTACATTTGAATTGATTGGTTTCATTTCTCACACTACTCGTATTAATATCGTGACTCATATTCCATTGCATTTTAATTCACTTTTTAATTGAATCATATTTAATTATATTAAATATTTTAATAATTATATATATATATTCGTTGTTATCAATTTATTTTTAATTGGCGCCTTTAATAGTAAATCACAATTGTTTGTTTTGATTGATATATAGTATTATCACTTATCTCTGCGATAAAAAAATATCTTTGCATTAAAACAAATTTTAATTATCATTATGCATTACACTATTGCATTAAACAATATATTATTTTATTTATTATAAAAAACTTTTTATTGAAAACAATCTAAATCAACGAACTCACACTCACTTCAAAATTTAAGTTAGAGATTTGCATATAAGCACTACTGGAAACGGGATTAGACCAGCGTCTATGTGTTAAGTACATTTTGAAAATATTTTGGTGAACAAATAATATTTACAAACATATAAACATTTTTAAATTTATATATTATATAGTTTATTTATATTTATGATAAACACATTCTTCTGCGTTATTTAAATCTAATATATATCGCATATACATTATATTTATCTCACGAACAAAATAAAACTAAAATTATTATTGTGCCTCTGTTTCGTTACTGATTTATGATTCAGTGAGACGTAGAATGGCTCTTTACATAAATGTCTGGAGGCTTACACATTATTCCAGATAAATGTGTGTACATAAGTATATATTATGTGGTCCAATTTAAAACGTCGCACAAATTAGTATCAGCACAGATTGAATTCATTTCGTCTGTGATAGTTGTTCACACATATGAAGTGCGATATGTGATAGGCTTTTTTTATGCTGCCTTAACATATTTGTGGTTTCTGTTCTTGATGAAGCTTTGAAATTTATCGCATTAAATGTGAACTTAAACTAAAATTCGATCTGAATAAATTGTAGTTTATGTGATTTTTTTTTCTAACACGGAAATAGTCTATAAAATTATCATTATTATTAAAAATTGTAATATTTCTTCTCTTCTCATATTTGCTTTTACTTGAAGACTTTTTAAAATTAGATACATTTTTGATATTATTATTAATTATATGCAACAAGCTTATATTCTTCTAAAAAGAGAAAAGCTTATCTTAAAGACGACATAGGTTCATCATCTTATCATCATCTTTTACGTTAGACGTTCAAAGAGAACCTAGTCCTGTCATCCTACTATTTTGAACTAGTTTCTTAAGTACCTAACCTATTGTATTACGTAATTACTTCTTTAGTTGGTTTCATACAATCATCCTACAGTTTTGATCTTAGTTTCTCAAGTACCTAACCTAATCATCTCTTTAGTTGCTTTGTTCCTTTTTCTTGACCCAGATAGCTCTTCCGATAAGATTACATTTAAAATCGTTTCATTTAGCTCAATGATAGATACAATGGCCATAGTGAATTTGTACGTACAGTACATTATAAATCATTGGATAAAGTATTACACGTACCTCCAATGACTTGCTTCACATCCACAGGAAGAGCAAAATACTTCGTGGGTCTTTTAGATAAAATACTGGACGAACTACAATTTTGTTTACTATGCAATCATGTGCTGATGTATTAATAATGAATGTACATATGGCATATATATAGTTTTTCAGTTTATTTCGGAGGTTTCAGTCCCTCAAGCACCTCTCTCTGTTTGGCTATGTGCTTGGCTATATGTGACTACTAATCTTATAAGTATATTATTTATACTTATTTTTAGGTTTCTTGTGACAAACTAGTTTCTAATAAGAACTTTGAAGCTATGAATTAGTTTATATCATTTGAGTTACATAGTTAGGTGTGTTATAATATAAAGAATCAACTTGGTATCATGGTTATTGTTAAACAAAATTTCAAGGTATCGTAACTCTAATAAACTATGATGAATATTATTTCAATATTAGAACAAATGAAGGTTTACCTTTAAATTCTGGCTACATTTAAAAAAATAATTTTATGTAAAATTCGATCCACATAGTTGTAAACTATATATGTAAATTTATGTTATACATAAACAATATAACGAAATCAACAGTTATTCATTTGCCGATTAGATAAACAAATAATAATATTTGCAAATATATTTATAAGATGATTGATGTCTAGAAAGACATATATCAAATATAAGATGTGCTTCATTCGTCGTAAAATTTTTTAATACCGAGTAAGAATACATGAGTTTTCTAACAATCAAATTTTTAATAAATTTAAAAGAACTTCTTCTCTTATGACTAGTAACTTATTATATGAATATAAATAAAGAAATAAAGATTCCATTGGTTTGGCTTGTAAACTCCTCGTAAAGAATACAGAAAGAATATATACCCCACTTTGCGTATTTAGGAAAGTTGATGTTGTTTTACTCGTTGTGTGGAAACAATCCTATTTATCATGTTAAGTGGAATAAAACTAAGAGATGGAACTTGGCATGAAAGAATAATGTAATGAAGAAAAGAAAGTTAAGTGATGAGTATAGAAAAGATGATTTTAACTTGTGCAATGAGTCAGGAATGATATTACATCAGTAGACAAGCCATTAGTTAATAAATATTTATCTACTTAAGAAAGAAATTATGAGAATTATTGAAGAATGGAAACGTTTTTATTTTGATTGCATTTTTGAATTAAAGTTAGTTAAAATTTGATTAGTTTTGACTAGCTCAAAAGAGCCTTACATAGATCAACTACAACTTTAGTGTTACCAGAAAGGAAAATCAATGACTGACGAAGATAGGGACGCCTTGTATCGCTCAGATATTTTTGTCTTAGCCTCTTCAATGGTAAGCACTTACAGATTATATATTTTACTAGTTTCTTTGTGTTCGGTATTCCATATTTCGATCCAAGTAATGTTACACTTATTATAATTTTAAATTTAAGATTTGAAAATAATCTATTTAAGAAATCACAACAGTTAGAAAATTTACAACATATAGTTAATAGCTTTCTTAGCATAACAACGATGTTTAATTTATTAAACATTATTATTTATATATTAAAAATTTTTTAAGCCATTGATAAAAAGAGATCACCACAGTTATCTCTTAGATAACTGTGGTGATCTCTTAGATAACTGTGGTGATCCTGTTAATACATTTCAGCTGGCTTATTGTATTGACATGAATTTCGGAAGGTTTAACACGATTCAAATCTTTAATAAAACAAAAGGTCAAATTTCACATACAGCCCAAACCCTTTTCTATAATAAAAACCAAAGATACATGTCAGTTTATTTCTCTAATCTTGTGTGTTTTCATTCAAATATAAAACCATGCATAGATACCTAAAGATCTTGCTAATGTTTTGGTACCTAGTATTATTGTTGAATAGGACGAAGACAGAAAGCCGCTAAGAAAGGACTACACTATAAATTTAAGAATATAAAAATTTGTACAGTTGGCTAAGATAATCTAGTAAGTCCATGGAAAGTTTTATATGGATTGTTCGTACGCTGAATACCGTCAAGGCAGATGAGAAACACTTTTTTCCTTATAGAATTATAAAAGCGAAGGGAAGAGAATATTTGTTATCCTAACATGGTTTTCAAACCGACAATCAGGTATTTCGAAACTTCTTATTTTATATTAATACTGGATATTTAAGACATTAGTAGTTATAAAAATTAAGTAAACAGTTTTAAATTACTTTAAAACTTACCTGAGATACTAAAGCTTTGGTTTCGGGTGTTGTACTTTCTAAAAATATTTTCTTGAATTCACTTGGACTAGATAATTTAAATTCAGATGCTGAAGCTATAAAAGCTTGTATTTCTTTTAAACTTTGCTCTGCAAGTTCTGTAGAAACTGAACATTTTTCAATTTTTTGTGAAGCTAATAACTCCACACCATTTGCACACCACTGATTAGCCTGAAATTAAAAATAATTAATCATTAGTATTAATAATCATTTACGCATGTAAATAAACATAACCTTTTCTACTCTTTCCATAAGTTCACGATTCTTTGACAGTATTTCTAAACGTTTCGTTAAGCGTTCCGTAATTATATCGCAAACGCGCTGTAATTCATCACATTTCGGTTGTACAATTTCCCATGGATAAACACCACGTAAACCGATAAGCTTTTGTCCAGCCTCTATTATATCCACAGCGCGTTGCACATCAGCAAAAATGAATTTTTGAAATTCCTCAGTTTCTTGTATAAGTGAGTCCACACGTATTACGCTCTCACCAATTTCAGTCATTTCCGCAACACATTTTAGGTGGGCATTAAAAATATACTGGAAGCAAATAAATATTAGTTATTGATTCTATAAATTCATTCTGTGTATAGTTTAATGTTAATTTTCCTACCTGTGCTTCTCGGAAATCTTGTTCGAATTTTCTTAGCGCCAAACATTGCTCTAGGCGATTACGATGTGTACGCCAGAATTCATCGAAACGTCTCTCGGTTTCCTCCAACTGTACGAGTAGTCTACGATAATCGCGACAATCATCATAATGGTATGGAGGTTTTTTTAATTTGTATTGATGATGATAAATTATTTGTTGGCGATGAGTAATGATCCCTGCACTGGGTCTGCATTTTTTTATTGTTTTGTTTCATATTTGTATTTCATATAGTTATAGATTTTACGAAAATTTATGTGTAAATAGCACATATTTTTCGTCGCGTTACGATATAGTTTGGTTTTTAGTTTAGATTTGAAAATGCGTTTGTAAATACAAGAAAAAGTGGAAGACAAAAACGTTTGGATGAACATGAGAAACATTAAGTTCTATAGCTGTATTGTTTATATTATTTAATCTTTAATCTTTTAAATTAACAAATTTAGTCATTTATTATTAGTAAGTGTAATTGACATTTGTATTTAGTTTGGTTAAATGTGTCTGGTGCTCAACTTAACATAAATATTTTTGTGAGAGTATATTAATTAGAGTGTGGAAAAGTGTCCTCAAATATCCCTTCTTAATATTGTGGAGGAGTGTATGTTTATTATGCTAACAAAAGTTCGGTTATGTTAAAATATATTGTGTATTTTACAAATTTACATATATTACTTATTTATTAAAATACTTAGGAATTAATAAATATATTATACTTAAAATACACTTGTTTCCCAAAATTTCATATATGATTTTAAGCTTAAGAAAGTCAGATATTATGCGGATACGCTAAGAAGTTAAGTTAAAGGAACAATAGTTAGAATGTTTGGATTTTATAGTTGAAGTAGACATTTTTTGTTTTTACAATAAGTCTTAATCTGTGATTTTATTCTTATATTTTACAGTACGAAACAAAATTTACATATTTGGAGTACATTTTATCAATATAATCCATAAATTATTATATGTCAAAATGCATAAAGTTGTTAAGTCTGATACTGATATGTAAAAACACTTAATAAGAGATTTGAAGAAATTAATAAGTATCATTTATTATGTAGACTTTTATAAATTTATATGCAAAAAGATAAAATATGGAAGCTCTTTATCAATATCTTTATCACATAGAAAAACTACTACTATGATTTTTAATAAACCATAATTAATTAAATTATTTTGATTACATTTGATGGTAGCGAAAAGAAACCTAATAGCTGAAGCATTCTTTATATCATATCTATTGGTTAGTAATAAAGGAAAAAGTATTGAGTCTTGTTTAGTAAAATATATTCTTTTCTTAATTGAAATATTAAACATTTCTTTGGATTACGTTTTGCTACTTTCAGAAAGAACCATTGATCCATTTTTATAAAATCTTGTACAAAAATTGAAACAGATACTTTTTATAGTCCTCTTTTACTATCAACTTTTTGAATTTTTCTCTCGAATGCTCGTGACACCTTCTCAACACTCTTGTTCAAGCTTCTGCACCATACAGCAGGACAGTCCACAAAGGGATTTGTAGAGCGTGATTTTTGTTTGTCGAGAGGGGGCTTTATTTCTCAATTGCCTTCTTAACCCAAAGTAACATTTATTGACAAGAGTGATTCTTCGTTGAATTTTTGGTCTATAGCTATTTTTGTGTTTACGCTGGGTTTCAAATAATCACCACTTCGAAATAATCATCAACAGAGTAGTCAGCTCCAAGACGCTCAGGAACAGGAGTACTTTGGTCCTCATATACCACAAAATCCATTTGTTTTGCTTATTTTTCTGTTTGTCTATGTAGGTGTTCAGGTCAGCGATATCAATATCGTTGGCGTAAACCAGTAGTACACTTTGATAAAAAATTGTGTTAGTGCGGTCACACGGCAAGAAGTGACCCTGTTTGAAATCTCGTTTGGCATCAAACAGCTCGGAGAGGTTATTCGCAATTCTAAAGACGCTGGTGGTGTTGCTCAACGTTATTTTACATAGCCGTATAAGTTATATATAAGTTATGGTATATTAAATTCAGACATAGCGGCATGGAGTGCATCAAGTCGTAGTGTCATAAGTGGCTTTAAAATCGACAAATATGTGACGTCGATTTGCTTTTCTTGGGTCTTCTCCAGAGTTTAAAGCACTGGAAATATTTAGTCTAGGGTGAATTTGCCAGGTCTGAAACCACATTGATGAGGTCCAATCCTTAGGTTGCTAATTGACTTCAATCTTTCCCATAGTATCAAAACTTTTAAAAATCACAGCATTTTGCTCCATTTCAATAAAGATTTGTAAATAGAAGTGGCAATATTTTATACGCAATATTTTTTTACTCAGTTGAGACGTATCCAAACATAGAGTTAAGCTAATTACTTAAAGCTGTATTGTTGTTAATCTTAAGTTCCTTAAAAATACTAAGACTAGGTGTCTCAAACATATTAAATTTGTCGTGGTAAAATATCATATTTGTTAGCTTACATATTAATAAATTTTTTATGGATATGAATAATTTTTTATGAATAATTTTTTTTCACAAATTTTTGTTACGTTAATGTTGTGATTGCTATAAATAATGTAACATATAAATTACATTAATTATAGGTTATATTGGTGATCCTGAGGATTCACCAAAGCCTACTAGCTCATTGTGTTCTTTAATTATAATTCTAGTTTAATAGTAATTTAGAAAATATCTTAAATTTTTTTTTTTGCTTAATTATTTTAATTGAAAAATGATTAAAATGATTTTTGAAAATTAAAATTTGATAAATAGAAAACACAACTTTTTAAGAGGCTTCATAACAATACTATACATATAAAGGGATTTCATTGCAAAAGTAGAGTCACATGTTTAACTTTTAAGTTGTGATGTATGTAAATATATATGTGTAAGGTGTTTGTTTGATACGTTCATAAAATTATAGAAACTTCAAGGATACATTTGTAACATTAATATAATTAACATATTTCAACAAACATGCAACATAGGAGACGTGAGAACAATATTCAACATTAAATTATTTATATATTTAGTAAACAGCTGTCGAACTATATATAGTATAAAAACTAAGAATGGAATTTTGTGTAAAGAATTTGCCAAAAATATAACAGCTTCCACTTTATATATATATATATATTTATATATTATTAAATAAGCTAACACAAAATATTTTTTGAAATAATTTAAAAAAACTTCATGCTTTTTTTGAACAAGAGCTAACACTATTATTACATTTTAAATAATAAAGATCTGAACTCTAAAAAATTTGTTAACACAACTAAGAAATTTAAATCGAAAGTTTATCTAATTTAATATTTTTATAATAAATTCGAACATCTTTCTTAATTGTATAAATAATAAATTTTTGCATAAAGCAACTTCAATTTGCAACTGAAGAGTTAAATTAATTAAATTCAATTAATTTAAGCATAAATTTTATAATACAAAAAATGAAACAAACATATAAAATGAAGATGATACTTTGATATCTGATATTTTACAAAGTAAGGCATTAACTAATAAGTTAATTTTTGTTTAAAAAAATTTAACTTATTAAATATTTAAATATATTAAGAAAATGAACTTAAATTACTTAAGAATACAAAACCAGTGCAGAGCTATAATAAATTGAAAATATTAACATTTTAGATAAAAGACTTTTATGGATTTAGAACAAGGATTGATTTTTGGATTAGAGTATGATTGGATGATACAAAAAACGTTACGCATTTTTTTTGTTAGTATTAGAAATTAATCAAACGCCACAAAATTAAATTAGTTAAAACTAACTAAAAGCGAATGGAATGAGTTAAATTATACAATGACTACGTACCGCTCAATAGAGCTAACATTGCCAGTCCGTTCTGAAAACTCTTTAAATTCATCGTTTGATTTAATGTTATTAAGTAGCGTTTCACCGTGTTTAGCAGCAGCAAGAATTTCCTCCTTTAAAATTAAAACTTTTTTATTACTTTTATAAATAATAAAAACATTTTAATTTAAAACCTTTAAACGATCATAATCTGCACCCTGATCATCCAGCAGTTTTTGTGTAGCTTCAACTGAGTTTGGAAATTCTGTATCATGTATGGCTTGTATGAAAATATCCAATTCTGAGGAAACTTGATGGGTTAAACTCGAAAATTTTTCCAGGGACTGTAAAAAAACCACATTTTCAGTTATATATATTTTTTGATAAAATTAAATAAAATAATAATTTACTATTCGCTGTTGTATCCATTCATGATGTGAGTAAATTAGTGTTCCACCCATATCCACAGTTAATTGTGATTTATCAATATATTCATGTAAATCGTTAAGTGCGGAGCATATAACCAAACGAAAACGATATTCATCTTTGGAAAATTTTGTACTAACTTCAGATATTGCTTTTTGGAATAAACCAGAAGGGCGTAAAACGTATACGACATGTATAATTCCAGGAAAGTAGATCTAGAAAAGAAAATATATTAAGCATTTTATATATTATATATATATATATACCTATATAATATGTTTCAGTCCCTACTATATCTAAACCCATTCAAACAGAGTAACAAATTTGCAATTAAACTAATTGATATTTATTGGACTAAAACTTTAATGATTAACTTTTAGCAAATTTTTCGTTTTTTTTGACCCGCATACCTGTTTCGCAGGATACTTTGGTCTTTGCCATATATATATATAACTTCAAAATCAAACTTCAAAAAAAAAAAAAACTAAAAATAGTTAGTCTGACGATTTAAACCAATTAGATGTGAAATTGGTAAATTATGTAGGAGCTAACATCAAAGATATATTTTCAGAAACCACTGATGATTGGTATTTGGCAATATCAATAATAATAATAAATATTATTATTTTAAATATTTACAATATATTAATATAATATATTTATATAAAATATATAATTTTATATCTAATTAAGTTCTCTTCAAGTTCTAAATCTTCTCTAACCTCAAAAAACCTACTTGAGAAAAATTTTGAACAACTGAATAGACAAAAGCATCCAGAGAATGGTATTTAGCAGACTTTCTGGAAAATCAGTACAAAAATGTGATCCATAAATTCAACGTTTGTTGAAATTACTTTAAATCTTGATTTTTATTTCTGCTCTTCAAATTTATTAAACAAACAGTCATACATTGTTTACGATTATATGAAATATGCACTATTGAAAAAACTACAAAATTTATCACAATAATTAAGTTGCATATACTATTATTTATGATAAATCTTCAGTGATAATTATGAGCGTAGAAGTACTCATAAGTTGAGGACCTTATATAATATTAACTCTATTTTTTCAGATCAACACATTTACTCCTAACATACTAGAAATGATAATAAGTCAATAGTAGAAAAGAGTAGCTGAAGCCTACAGAGACGGTACTAGAATATGGATCATATCCTGAATATATAATTTATATACTCTGCTAGGTATATTCCATAATGTCTAATGGAGTTTTCAAGTTATCAACAATTTAATCTAGTTTCCTTATAAATTAAGCAATATATTGAATAAAAAAATTCTTTTAATATTAATTTTTTATAATAATATAACATACAGAAATACGTTGAAGTGCCGTTTTAACTGATGTCCATTTATCTTTACGTCGGTCAATTATTAAATGAAATCCGAGATCAGCATCTTGCAGTCTACAATAAAAAATATATTAAATATTAATTACAAAAAATTTGATTCATAAAACTTCACACTTACGATGGCACTGACGTGAGATATAGAATAAGTTTTTGATAATCCGCATCTTCCAATGACAGAAAATTATTATTATCAGGAAATATGATAAGTGGGCATCCTTCCTGTGAACGGCCACCTATAAACGAAATGCAATTATATTTAATTTTTTTTATTAATATTAAAATTATTATTGATTAATACAGTAAACCCCCTATAACGCGGAAGATTGGTCCCGCGTTATAGAAAAACGCGTTATACATTCTGCTCAAAAAGTATCCGGATTTTGTTGTTTGTTAATTACTTATGTAATAGACCTTTTTCAAACATTTTTTTTTTGTTATGTTGGTACACCTTTTCTTGATATACGATACAAATTTAAGCGCCATCTGTCAATTGGTTTGTTTACAGCAGCTGTTAATGTGAAACTACCTCAAGTGCATTTAGCGATTTTTACTATGGAAAATTCTTGTTGTACGCGATTTTTTGACTAAACATGGCACCACTGTCATCGCTCAGGCACCATATTCGCCAGATTTGAATCTGTGCGACTTTTTTCTGTTCCCAAAACTCAAATTGCCCCCTCGTGGTAAGCGTTTTGAGTCGATTGAATCGGAAAAAGAGAATTCGCTAAAGGAACTAAAAGCCATACCTTTACGGGCATACGAAAAGTGTGTGAAAGATTGGATTAAGCGTTGGCATATGTGTATCGCTTCAGAAGGAGCATATTTTGAAGGAGATAAAATAAATTTGGAATAAAATTTAAATTTGTGTGTTTTATTTACAAAATTCGAGTACTTTTTGGGCAGAAGGTCCGGGTATTCCCGTTTACACCGTATATACACGTGCAAAGGTACGCGAAGCTAATTATGAACTGTACAAATCCCCGCGTTATATGGGGGAATGTACGTACTGTACGGGGG